CAAACACACATATGTATATATATATATATGCATACCTATTTCAGAAAAAATAATTGTTCGATTTTCTTTTAAGTGCCGAGAAAACTTGAATTCGATTTCTCTGTGCCTTCGCTAACTCTGTACAGGCTTGGAATAAAACACAGAGTTTCTCTACATTGACATTGAGTGTACCCTTTTAAATGACGTCAGGAAAACAATCTGAAAACGTAAGATACTCCTGACATGCTGCAATCGGTGGATGACAAGGTTCCGGATTCTAAGGCTTTGCACGTTTAAATAGCCGAGATATGTTCACAAGGCTTCAATCACTGTCTTCTGGGATAGCCAGGAAGTCACTCAAGTAAATCTTATTGAGATAGTAACCTAGTCAAGGGGGAGTTGTAGGCTTTTACTTGAGATAAAATTAGTGTATTTTAACATATGGAGGCATCTTGAAGTAAGCCTACATCATCGTTCACTCTCGAGATTGTGCTTAAATATGCATTTATTTTGTGACAGGTTTAAAAAACTGAAATACGGGCCCCACATTTCATCCAAAATATCCTTTAAAATCGGACTTTTAAATGCTTATTGTTTGAGGCTAGTAAGTTTGTGAAACGAATTCCTTGCAAATGGTATTGGATTCTTGAGGTATAACTGTGGTTGGACTCAGTTCTGCTGGATGCCAATTTCGTTAAACTACCTAGAAAATGAAGTATTAACTAAAGAAAGCTAGTAACTGAGTTCAATAAAACCCTAGCTTCAATATATTCATTATATATTTTTCATTTGTGGTCTATCAAATAGCTTATATGTTGGTGGAATCTTTTCTTTATTTGATATTAAATCCACGAAGTGTATGATTTATCAGTTTCAGCATAATGAACAGAATATGTTTTTATGCATGCACCAACAATTTTTTCCATTGTAGCGAAATTTTACAATTTCTGATCTTTTTAGAATGAATGATAGGATTTTGAAACCGCCTATTGAATAGGATAGTGGCTATGCTTTTGGTTAAACCAAAGCAAAGGCAGAGAATGCTGTTGGAATATTGTCTGTTGCTAGTCCTTTATGAATCTTCCATAGGATTTTACTCAGTTTAACATCAAAATAGCTCTGTGTTTACCATCTTGGATGTATATATCGGCGAGTTTATTTGTGTGTGGAAGGAAGGGGCACAGTTGCAAATGAAATAAGAACTGAAGTTCAATCGGCAAAGTCATTATTAATATTTGCACCCCATCAAAATTGTGTCATCTACTCAAGTTTATACTTATCACTTTATTTCAATATTATCACAGAATTTTTAAAGTTAAGTGGTGCATATGAAAATCACCATTCATAAGTTTCATCTTATGCAAAATTTTAGACCTGTCTTCGAAGTAAAAAGAAAAAAGGAACCATTTCCTTTTCTATATTCACAAAAGCCCTCTTATAGTAGAAACAAACTTGACTAAAATATTACTTGTAACTTAAAAAAGAGCATAATTTCTAGGAATATACTCACACCGAATTTAGGGAAATCTGTTTGATTTTACACCAGGCGCATTCAATATGCTTTGTTGAGCCTAATTTTATTCCTTGTAAAATTGTGTTTGAAAGAGCTTCTTAGGTCGACTTCACCAGATTCCGCTTGGATTGATGCTGTTTTATTATACTTTGGCATTCGGGATCATGCAGTTTTTGATACAATTTCGGCGGTTCCGGTTAAAAATTGTATAGGTCTCGTGTGCAATTTACTTTAACGACCACATCTAGGCCTAAAATGATATATACTTTAAACTTTAATTGTTCACTAAAATCAGCAGCCCCATACACGTAGCAAAAATGATTCAAACTTGTCAATAGTTGGTGAGTAATAGTTTGGTTCAAATTATATTGCTTAGACGATTTTCCGACAAAGAAATGGATAGAAGGTCACACAATACTTTCAAAGTTCGCCTAGATTTGTCCTTTAAAATGTGTTCTCATCCAGAATGAACCTCAGTTCTACCCTTGCTTGGGTTACATCATCACCCTAAGGGGTTTCTGGGTTGTGTGCTACCACACCGTCACACAGTAACGAGTACCATCTGGGCACAGGGCAGATGTGACACTCAAGGCATGCCAGGCCTCTCGAAAGTCACAGTCTAAAACGGAATCTTGTGTTGATAGAGCAATATCGTATTGACCATCACGTCTGTACCAAAGGCGCAGTGAGTACGTTTCTAAACCTTAAATGGCGTAGGGTAATAAAAGTTCCCATTTTAGATCTATTGACAGTTACGAAACTTACTCACTAGGCTCACAGCAACGACTTGGAATGTGATAGCAAATGTAAGCCTGTCTTATCTTATTTGGACTATAACGTTTTATTGGCGGCGAAATTGAGTGAAATAATTTGTATCTTGGGGCCTTTTATCCATTACATTCCACCTTTAGCGAACCCA